AAAATGGCCTGGTATCAATAAAGGATTGCTTGAAATTACAACAGTAAATAATGTAATTCAGTTTATACTTCGCTCTGACAGCATAGCATGCACATTAAAAGCAAGATGTTCCTCTCCTTTCTGCTCCTACCCTCATCTATTAAACATTCAGCAGATCACCGTGCTTTCCACGCTAACCAGAAGAAAGAAAAGTTACCATCCATTTTGTATCCTGAAAATAACACAAAGAATTCAGCATTATTGACAGCAGTGCACAGTGTAGGAAATTTTTTAAAGTATGACCTACATTAAATGGCAGGAAATGGCAAACCTCATTAATGTCCTCCAGTCAAAGAAATTTAAAAAAGAAAAAATGATTATAAAAACAAATTCTATTCTCATCCCCAACAAACCCATGCCAGTTTTCTAGGCTCTTAGATAAGGTGGCTGATCAGGTAATAGGGGAAGAACTGGAAAGGGATCCAATCCCTGCAAAAAACAACTTTTCACAGCAGCTACAGTTTAGTATTAAATAGCAACCAGGCTTGTAAGCCTTTGGTATTGCCTAATGTAAAAGAGGAAAGAAAAACAGTACTTGTTTATTGTTCCTCTGCACTTAACATGTCCAAATTAGTCAAGTATTCCAAACATATCTTTCACTTTACAGTATATTCTGTGAAGCGCTTTGGGACGTCTAGAAGACATAAAACTCTATATCATATGAAAGGATTATTATTATTACATCTTGGACTGGTTTTTACTGGATGCAAAACTGAACCCAAACGAGTCCTGCCATCCTTGTACCGGAAATTACTTAAATTAAATGGCTTAGGCAAAGTATTCTCAGAACAGCTTGCTAGGATTAACCCGGTGACTAAACTACTGAAAGCAACAGCTTCCCTGGCACTACTTTAATTCCAGATCAAAACCATGCACGGCAGCGGTGGTTGGCATCTGGTGATTCTGCTGACAATGCCCCAGGATTGGTAGCTGGGAGGTGTGCTAGGGTGGGCACAGGAGTAGGCTTTTTCTTGACTGCCCAAATGGCATTGCTCAAACGGGGATTGTGAGGTGTGTGCTCAGCCAGAGTCATGGCTCCCAATGGATCGTCTCCTCCCAGGGAGAGCAGCTGGTCTCACCAAGACCTAGACTTGCCCAGAGACTTTGTTCATCTTGGATTTTTTTTAAAAAGGGACTCAGCTTGACGATCAAATAGCTTGGTAACCATACAACCATTCTATCTTAAACATTTAAGAATTTTCTACAGTTCCCCGCTAAAGCCTTAATTTGGAAACCAGTTATTTTTAAAATCGAGGGAAATCTGCAGTCAAATAACATTCGACAGATCTTGTGTTTCGGTAGTTAAAATCTAGAATATTTACATAAACCATTTTTTTTTACACTGATATTTGGCATCCTGTACTGAGCTGCTTGATTCAGATTGAGAACATTGCTTTGCATCAGCGACAGCAGTAGCTCATCAGCACACACCCTTCAAGTTAATAAAAAAATAAACCACCCAAATATTTATGCTGTTGGCACGCCACAACAAGGTTCCTGTGGAAAATGTGAGCTACGTCTTTGCATTTGTTTTTCTGGTATGAAGTGTACAGGCCTGTATGGTTGTTCTACATCATAAGTGCTTCAGTCCACAGTTATCCTTCTATTTTTTTCTATTTTCCCTTGTGGCACTTCAGAAGAGATTTGTGAGGAACCACGAGGCAATGACTGGTAACTTGTACATCTCTATTCACGTTTAGAAGAACTGAGGAGACCTTTTACCTCACAGATCTTTCAATTTTGCCGTAGAAGAGAGAGATGATCTCTTCGCAATACTTTACCATTTAGATTTCTTCCCACCTTTCAGGCTTCTATTGGGAGCTGGTTTCCACTGCTCAAATTATGACTGAATTGTAAGAAAACTGTACAGGAACATCAACCAAGCAATACTCCCATATATCTGCACTTTCCAACAGGTCACTGGATAGTAATGGGAGTAACTCTGCCAAGTCCTTCTTTCCCAGGTTTTGGGATGTTGAGGCCAACCGTGGTCCCTCGTGGGCCCTCATTACCATCCGGGCTAAGATACCCCACCACCCCCATCAGCAATGGGAACTAAACTTGGACTTTTCAGATGGGATTATTTCCATGAGTGACTCTGTGGGGATGGGAAACTGACTGACTGAACCACCCTCTTGAGTTATTGCTGAGAAAATCTCAAGAACTGTGCAGAATCCTCATTCTCCTTGGTAAACATACAATTGACCAGGCCAGAAGGGGACAAGTGTCCACACTGAAAAATACTTGTAAAAGACTCAGTGTACTGAGTTTGTTGATGTATTATTGTTAACCACTTGAGCACAAAGAGATGTGGTGATCATGCAGGGTTAGCACTTAGCATCAGAAAATCTTACCAAAGATTTACTGCTCGGCCTATACATTAGTTCAACACATATGCTAATTTCAAATTTAATAAAAAGTCTCATCAAGCATAACATTTCCACTTCCTGGATCCTGGAGTTCAGTAGCTTAGTGGTTAGAGCACTCGTCTCACAAGCGAGAGAACCTGCGTTTAATTCCCGGGCAGGGCGAAAGTTTGGGCAAGTTTCCTTACTCCACACACCTGTTTACCGAGCAGTAAGTAAGAACCCGGTTGTTAGTCGATTGGAGAGTTGGGGGGACTCCGGGATGGAGTTATTTATAATAATAATACTTGCATTTGATATAGCACCTTATCGCATCTTTGAGACGTCTCTAAGCACTTCACAGGATATACTTGTAAACTGAATTGATTGTATATTTTGTGGGCAAAGGTGGTAGCCAATTGTGCACAGCAGTGCGCAGTCATGGATTGATTCATTATAATTATGATCTTTTTGTAAGGGATTTTTTACCCCCAGAAAAGTAATCCACCAATTGTCCAACAACTGGGTTCCTACTTACTGCTAGGTAAACAGAGGCCTGTGGAATAATGAAACTTGGCCGGGAATTGAACCCAGGTCCTCTCGCTTGTGAGGCGAGTGCTCTAACCACAGAGCTACAGGACTCCAGAAATGCAGCATCTGAAATACAATGATTTGAGTCAAATAAAACCATAGGTCTCAAAACCCCTGCAATCTCAACTTTTCTGATACCATAGCATTAAAATTTTAGATTGTGTAGAATTTGCGAAACGTCTTAAATTCAATCAGTTTTCCATAGATCTTAATTCTGAGGCACTTAATAATTATCTCTCAAAGAGTACAGCCAAAGAGGCCCATGAGCAAGAAGGGAAGATGTGAAAATAGGAGGGAAAAGAGTAAGAAAAGCAATGCACCCTTTGTATCATAACATGTAGAGGCAGCATTAAATTTACTCGATTACAATCCATGGTTATGGCAATCAAAAACAGGGACAATTTGTCTTACAAAATGAGACCAAATCTGAAATTTTCCAATATTCTGCACAATCTTAAATGTTGAGACAATGATCAGGCCTACAGCACATTCATGATCACACCACACCAAAATGTGTGATCATGAATGTGCCAGAGTGGTTAGAGCACTCGCCTAATGAGAATTGGTAATTGTAAATAATAATTGTGCAGCTCCAATGTAGGGTGCTTTACTATTTTCACTTAGAACACAGTTGCACTGTTGACCTTGTTCACTGCACAATCCTGTAGCTGGTCCACTCGCTTCCTGCGCACCAACCGGCTTTACATACTGAAATGGCTGATTTGCAGGTCACCCTCGGTGTCACTTCCCGCTTTGCTGCACATGAAGCCAGTGACGCCAAAAAGCATCAGGTATGACCTAAATGACCCGGACATCGACCATTTTAGTTTCCTACCCTAAAAACACAATGCACACCAGCTGGATCTATGTGCAATATCACCCTCTTATTGTGTCTTGCTGTAGCGCGGGTGGGATTTTATGAATCCTAACACCATCTTGGAATGCAGCTGAATGTAGAACTGAACCATGTTGTGTCAGCAAATAGGTATGGTATGTCGTTCATCAGTTATCAGAAAAGACAGGAGTAAAAAAAAGCTGAGGAAACAAAAGAAAGTAAAGAAGAATAACATTTATACATACTTTAAAAAAAAGACTTCAACAGAATTGCAGAACACAAGAATTAATTTTGTTTAAAAAAAGGCCTTTCTGGCTTTAAGAAAATCCACATCCCTAACAAAACATTTCTTTCAATTTTCAGCTAAGGACCCTTGCCTCAAGCAAAATTTTGTCTTTCCATTTTGCACGGTTTCTGCATGTCCTGACATCACAACTTCTTCTGCGAAACGGCCACCACCTTTGACAGGATTCTCATTCAATGAGATCAAGGTTGCTGTCAAGGGGAAGCTTGAACCACAAGCCCAGCATTACATCATTTTCCTACATGTCTTTGTTGGGGGAAAAACACCTCATGGTCACCCGGGCGACTTAAATAAGCAGCCACTGATTGCTCTGATCAGAGGCACAACAGGCGCCTGAAAAACACTCACACAAATTCAAAACATCGAGAAATGAGTGATGTAATCAAATGAATTATGTCACCAGTGGGATTTAATGCCCTCCCGAGAAGCTACCAATGGGATCCATGCATGGAGTGAATAAACAGAAGCTCGCCAGTGACTGAGTTCACCTGTGCAATAAAGTATGAGAGCTCAGCGGTGCCCACACAGCTAAACATACGTGTCCTCCCCCTCGTTTAGCAATCGTGGAGAGAAGCACTGCCACGTCTCTGGCAGTCGACAGCACATCCCGTCGACCATCAAATAAGATTATTTTCAACAATATGCTTGGAAAAGCCAGCCCTCCCAAATATTCCCAATCACGTGACTTTAAACAAAAGGCAATCTTGTCGGATTCAGTGTTGACTAAAAACTGCGTGAATCTAATTAAGCTCAAGTGGACTTTATGGGTGTTAGCAAGGGCATAATCAGTCTTCACAATTCATAACCTGTTAGAAGATAACAAGCATTGGGTTAAGTTAAACATACATCCTAGTAAACCTTGTATTTAAGGGAACTTTGTACTCACCCTCGATAGCTCCTCCTTTTCTCCATTGTCTTTGATGAACATTCTTTCGATCTCCTGATTTATCCCCTCTACACTGTTCTGCACGCGGGAGATGGCAGACTTTGAGACAGTAATGTTTGATGCTGGGCCTGGGATGAATCTTGCTGCAGAAGCCTAGAATGGGGAGGAGAAGAAAAATAGGGTAAACAGTTCATAGAAGAGTTTTGAGTAATGCACACAATACACCCTAAAAAGCTTGAAATCCTTCATGGTCTTAGCCAGGGTTTTATAATAATAATAATCCTTGCATTTGATATAACACTTTTCACGCCTTCTAGACGTCTCAAAGCGCTTCACAGAATATACTGTAAAGTGAATTGACTGTATATTTGTGGGTGAAATGCAGCAGCCAATTGCACATAGCAGTGTCCCACAAACAGTCGTTGATTGAAAATAACCAATTTTTTATTGTTTTGGAGGGATTATTATTAGGCGTGTGGAGTAAGGAAACTTGCCCAAGGTTTTGCCCTGCCAGGAATCAAACCCAGGTGTCTCGCTTGCAAGGCGAGTGCTCTAACCAGAGCTACAGGACTTAATATTTATATATCCAGCACCAATCAGCAATAGCAGCATGTAGGAATGAACTGCAGGGATATATTCTTGGATACGCCATGCTCAATTAAGGGTTTATAATAGTAGATGTGAATAGTACGAGGTCCAATAAAAATTGTGCAAAATAATTTCAATGCAAATCGTATAGGCAGATAATGGTATTTAAGAGTAGCTTTCACTGAGCTGGAATGTTGAATTATTTGGGACACCATTTGGCCATTCCATTGCCTTAAAATTTAAGGTTGTGACAAATTTCTGAAAATTCTCAAGTTAAGTTTTAATTTACGAAGCTAGTTTACAAAAAAGAGGAAAAACATTTTTTTCCAAAATAAGTATGAACTGAGGTCTGATAGCAAGAAAGTAGAATGTGAATTGTGATGGGAGAGGAAGAAAAACAGTGGGAAAACATCAAGGTGTCAACACCTGGACAGATATCACATTTTATTTCACTTGTAATGTAAGTGTTGGCTTGGCTTGGCTGGCAGCACCACTATTTGAAAAGAGAAAGGTCCAAAATCCTGACCAACAATCCACAGATGAAAAAATTGGTCATTCATTTCGTGATTATTGGTGGGACATTGCTTGTGAAGCTGTTTTTTTATTTTTTTTATTTTGATGTGATCAGGTGCTATATCGAGGCACTATTTTATTATTGAAAGCACAATTCAATATATCAAAATTTTGTGATGGCAAATGCACCACAAATACTGTAGGAATTTTATATGGGATTTCTCCAGTTTGTACAGTAGGATCACAGAACAAAGATGCCTGGAAGGTATTGGTGATCAAGCGTACAATAATGGTACTGATGTGTGTTATCCACTTCAAATCTGTTCTTAGCAATAAGGTAGAAATTCAATGCACATCCAAAAATCTGTAACATTACCAATTCTGACTTCAGGCATTTTTACCAACTGTTCTGAGTTTTAATTAGGTCCCTAGAGTTGCGTCACAACAGCAAATGTCAAATTACATTGTCACATTCACCCAAACATACAAATCACATCAAGGAAAATTCGAAAAACTTCTAAAGAGCCTGAAAGTATTGACTTCCACAGACAGATTCTAGATATATAGACAAGAACAGCTAGATACAATTTCTGCATGCTTCAAATGCATACTGTAAAAAAAAATAAGGGAATGTGAATTATGTTCTGTAATGAAAACAACAAAAAGTGAATATCATAATATAAGTAACAGAGGATGGCTTTTCATTTCCTTCTTATGGCCTATCACAAGAGAGCTGCAGATGTATGGGGTCCCTAGGCCCATTTGAACTAATTCTTCCAGAATACCCACCCTCATCTGTCTAATAAACTATGCATTCAATTGTGAATTCCCAGAAGGATTACTAAATAGTGAGTCTCAGATGTGTTGTGGCTGACTGTAGAAATCAGTCACCAATCTCAGTTCCAGCTTCACACTACCAGAGAAAACTACTCCAGCTCATCTGGGATTCACTATTTACAAATCCTTTTGTGATTTTCTCAATTTAAACCCCAATGTAATTTTTTTTTAAAAAATGATAAAAATGAAATTAAATGATAAAAATGAATTAATATTGTCACAGAATTATGCAGCAAAAAAGGAGGCCATTCAATTACCATGTCTGTGATATCTGAAAATAAGCTATCCATTTATCCCCATTGCCTCCGCTTTCATATTTTTCTTTTTAAAAAACGTCCATTGTCTTTTGAAAACCCTTTTGGATTCTGCATCGTCAATTTGATTTTTGTTTTTAAAAAAAGTGGACTTAATTATGAAGCAAAATTAATGAAGAATGTGGAATGATTTCTTCAGTCCACTCTTTTCCACAAAAGAGAAAATGCAGAAAAGTTTTAAATTTACACTCAACTTCGATCCAGAAAGAACAACCACTACCCATTCCGAATGGATGAATGGAATTGTGAACTTGCTGACATAAAATGTATGCTAGGCATGTTAGGTTATCCTCCAGGGATCCAATATACAGTCATGTAGTGATGCAATATCAACTCCAATAGCATAATGCTGAGAAATGGAATAGAAAGCATGATTGTCATCTCACTGCAGTTACATTTTCCTATTATGTTGAAGTACCAACTTCACAGTACTAACTTCCTGTATTAAGCAGTGTACAACATTTCCCATTTTAACTTAAAATATGACTTTTTAAAAAGTATATTGTTTGTAAATTTACTCCATAAAATATAGAAACATATTACATATTAAACTAAAGGGAAATTCAGATACATGCATACAACTCCTCACATTTTTCTTCATCTTATTTTCGTCTGATTCAATATCAAGTGAACATGACCGTTTTGTTGGCAAATTTGTCAGCCATTTGTGCCAGCAAGATCCTAGAAAACAGTCATGAGGTGTATGACCAATTTATGTGGAGGAATGTAGTCCAGAACACTGACAGAAACTATCTACTCTTTTTGATATGATCTTTAACGTTCACCTTAAAATATGCTGACTGAGTACTCCTTTTAACATTTTAGTTGAAGTATCCAAAAGACTGTACCTGAAGATGTAGCTCTTCTCTAGAAATGCTCTAAAAAAAATCAACATATATGAAAAAACAAGCTCTGACATAGGTCTTCAACCTACAACCGTCTGACCTAAGGGTGACAGTGCTTTCCACTGAGCCAAAGTGACACCAAAAAACAATTTGGTACAGAACTTCAATATGTAACTGTCAGAAGAAGCACAAGAGCAAACAGACTTCCACACTGAAAGACACTGACCTATTGTAATGTAATTAGACTTTGGAAAGGCATGTTCTTATTCATCAACATGCTACATCATCAAAACATTAAGTGACTCATGAAGCTAATTTATGTTAACGTTCTATGCATCAAAAGTGAAAAATGCCTCACGACACCAAATGCGCTACAGGACGCTTCCACATCAATTATGCTGAAAGAAATAAATATGGATTGAAAAAAATAATTATAATTTGTCACTCAATCCACAACTGTTTATGAAACACTGCTGTGCACAATTGGCTACCGTGATTCACCTACAAAATGTACAGTTAATTCACTTTGCAGGATATTCTGTGAAGAGCTTTGTGATGTCTCAACAATGTGATAAGGCACTATATCAAATGCAAGGATCAAATGCAGGGATCATGATCTAAAAGAGGGGACGGAGTGGGCAAGACAGAGGGATTGAGGGAGGTATTTCCAAAGCTTTGGGGTGTAGTGGCTGAAAGCACGGCTTCCAATGGTGGAGGGGATGAGCAATGAGCAGGAGGCCAGAGCCAGCCGAATAGAGGCAGCGGGTAATGAAGTGGGGAGTAAGCAGGCCAGAAAGTTAGGGAGTTGCAAGCCCTGAAGGGAATTGTAGACGAGAGAGGATCTTGAAATATAGGGAGCCAGTGAATCTGGTGAGGACTGGTGTAATGGTGTTACCGAGTTTATTTAGGCTGAGAATATGGGGAGCAAAGTTCTGAATCAGTTGTAGTTTGTGGGCAGTGGATCTGGGGAGGTTATTAGAATAGTCGAGGCAGGAGGTGTCAAATACATGGACAAGGGTTTTGGCAAGGTATGTGGTATGGTCGGACGCAGGTAATATGATGGAGGTGGAAGAAAGCGGTCTTGGTTAGAGATCAAATGTGGGGGGAAAGGACAGCTGGGGATCGAACCTGACGTCAAGAATACGTACAGTGAATATTACACACTGCTGCTGTTGATTAGTAAAGGCTCATCATCACTACAGGTTCTCAATAGCAAGCTTGCAATGTTGAAATTCATTCCTCTTAGTATTCCCAGGAGTTTTGCTGAACTAGACATAGTACTGTATAAGGCACTGTTTCAGTACAGGTTTTACCCCAGATTTCTAAATAATATCTGTGTAGGATTTTTAACAGTGTGGCCAACCCAACCTGCCTTATGTAGTTATCGTGCTTCAAAACATTCTAAATGCTCGTAATAGCTTCTCAAGGAAATCCAAGAGAAAAACAATTTAAAATACACCACAGCATGTCTTATTCTATCATTAATGCAAGATAACAAATATTGCCCCTTCTAACACAAGAGGGATGCACAATTAAACATTGCAAATTACTGCTATCCGCTTGAGTATTGCAAAATATTGAATGCAAGAAAGTGTGAGTGAGACAGAGCTGTGGCAGCCTGACAAACAGCAGTGATTTTCTCTGAATATCTGAATCCCCACAGTGCAATCAGCTACATGCTGCCACAACAACCAGTCACTGGCCATCAATACCTGCAGTCAGAAAACAAATATTGGTTTGGCTTCTGCTCATTTTTTTTGAATAAGGAATTTATGGCAACTGTCCCTTAATTTAAGAATTACAACAGTATACACTATCAAATTTACAAATTAGATTTTCTTTTGGAAAAGACAGAGAAGGGTTGCTGACAAATCTACGGTACTTGTGCATAAACTAATAACCCTACACAATAATAATGCCATAGAAATCATCCCTGTGACCAGCTTACTGTATCCTGCTCTTGTCCAAGCTGAATCACGAGTATCAGAATCAAAACAAATGTTCCAAAATAAAGCTCTACAATAGTTGTATTGAACAACTGTCAGGAAGATATTGC